CTACTAAATTATCGCGATAAAACAGGAGCTGCCGCAACAAAATTGGACTGGCAGATCCTCGATTTTGATTGGCTAACGGCCGAGGATCTTCAAAATTTTGGCCCGCATTACAAAATTGTTTACTAATTTCCGGCCGGAATTAATTTTTTCATTGCAAAATAGAAATTCTTAAAAAAATAAACCCGCATTATGGTAAAATTGTTTCATTAGTAAAATTATGAGTAATTCCGGCCTAATTTTTTGATCGTCGCTCTTAGCCATCAAAATCGAGAATCTGCCGGTCCACGGTTAATGGTTGAAGCTACACTGCACGTTACTACACTATATAATATAAACGACGTGTAATATCTATATAAATTAACCGGATTAACCAGTTATGTATAATTTATTCCAGGATAGCATCAAAATATCAGTTTCCAGATTGTCGGATAAACGGGTACCCTACTTTAGGCTATACTTACAGACTAATTTAATATAAATATAATGAAATGGCTTTTCTTAAATACACCCACTATTATGATCACTAAATTAAAGATAATAAGTACTACTTATTTTTCGCAACAGCGGGAATAAAAGGTAAATTCCCGTTTGTATGAGGGCCCGGAGAGCCCTCATATAGCCATAGATCCACCAATTTATTTACCAGTGGGTGCTATTCATAATGTTTTATCTACAAATTTCACAAATTGCGCATCTTAATACAATATTGATAAATGAAATCTGTATGGCATATATGATCTTATTGGTATAGTATAGTTTTTAAAATCGGCATTTTACATCCTCTTGCAACTATCTAGATCTTCTGTAATTTCTAAAATACAGCCAGACCTCGTTATAATCACTCTTGATATAGTCACAACCTTGATATATTCGCATTAAGATTTAAGTTAAACTAATATAAATCATCATATAAATTTGACCTTTATATAGTCACAACTTTTTATAATCATCAGAATCTTGTTTCCCAAGCTAGTGATTATATGGGGTGCCAGTAGAAACCAAGCAAATTGTTTTTAATGAGTTTTTTAAAACTTTAAATCAAAATGTCTCAACAACTATTAAACTAAACTTGATAAATGTTTTGTAATTTAATTCTATAACTATATATAATTAAAATAAAGAAATTTTTATCAAGTTTGATGTAATAGTTGTTGAAATATTTTATTTTAAAGGTTTAAAAAAATTTACTTAGAAACAATTTGCTTGGTTTCTACTAGCACCCTATATCAAGGTCAGTGTTTGAAATTTGTGTTCTCAGAGTTCTTATAAGAGCACAATTATAAATTTGTGCACAGTATAAATTTTTTACTGTTCACTATTAAAAATTTTTTGAGAACAGTAAAATAATAATCGTGTTCTCATAAGTATATAATAGAAAACTATATAATATTAATACACAAAGTTAAATGCTAAATATATTACATTCAAAAATCATAAAAAAATTCCAATATAAAGACAGTTATATTATCTAAGGTAAATTTTAAAATACATATATGCACTTCAAAATCAAATTGGTATCGTTTTTTTTATGATCATTAAGTGAGAACAGAAATATTAGTGTGAGAACACCTATAGCTATTATACTGTTCTCATGAGAACAGTGTTTAGATCTGAAATTTCAAACACTGATTCCCAATGCCATTTCGATAACATAATCCAACTTTATACTGCCCACTGTAATAACCATTTTCAGCAGATTTCAAATACCATTCGAATGCTTTTTTTTTGTCCTTGGCTGTGCCTATACGTTTCTCATAACAGTATCCAAGATTATTTTGTGCTACAAAATTACCACCTTCGACAGATTTCAAATACCATTCAAGTGCCTTTTTTTCGTCCTTTGCTATGCCAATGCCTTCGTAATAACAGAATCCAAGTTTGCATTGTCCATTTAAATTTCCATTTTCAGCAGATTTCAAATACCACTCAAATGCCTTTTTTTCATCCTTCTCTGTGTCTTTATTACTTTCATAGTAGACTCCAAGATTGTATTGTCCATAAGAACCGCCACCTTCAGCAGATTTCAAATACCATTCAAATGCTTTTTTATCATCCTTGACTGTGCCGATGCTTTTGCTATAGCAGGTTCCAACATTGCATTATCCATCCGAATTACCACCTTTAGCAGATTTCAAATACCACTCAAAGGCCTTTTTTTCATCTTTGCTTGTGCCTCTGTTATATTGATAGCAAAGTCCAAGATTATTTTGCCCTTGAGAATTACCACCTTCAGCAGATTTCAAATACCACTCAAATGCCTTTTTTATAGCAGAATCCAACTTGCATTGTCCATCCGAATTACCACCTTTAGCAGATTTCAAATACCACTCAAAGGCTTTTCTTTCATCCTTATTTATTCCTATGCCTTCTTCGTAGCAGCAACCAACATTAAATTGTCCTTTCGAATGGCCACCTTCGGCAGATTTCAAATGCTTTTCTTTTATCCTTATTTATTCCTATGCCTTCTTCGTAGCAGCAACCAACATTAAATTGTCCTTTCGAATGGCCACCTTCGGCAGATTTCAAATGCTTTTCTTTCATCCTTATTTATTCCTATGCCATCTTCGTAGCAGCAACCAACATTAAATTGTCCTTTCGAATGACCACCTTCGGCAGATTTCAAATACCATTCAAATGCTTTTTTTTCACCCTTATCTGTGCCTATGCCTTTGTCATAGCAGACTCCAAAATTAAATTGCGCATCAGAATCACCACTTTCAACAGATTTTAAATACTGCTCAAATTTCTCTTTTTCATTTTTCATAGTTTTGTTTATATATATTATTTGCACTAATCATAACTGTTTTATGACTAGAAGCAAATAGTTTAAAACGAATTTATGAAACGCACAAACGGTATTTAATATTACAGCTGCTATGTTTTAAAAGTCGGCTCATGATTATATGAGATGTTCAAAATAAAATTCTCAGAGTTCCAAACATTTATTTAGTATTAAAAATATATGTGGCATTTACAATCTCCGGTGTGTTTTAATACTGTCTTTTAGATTAACAAATATGTAACTAATGTCACCGTTACATAGTTCTAGTTTAACGTTGCTCAATTCCTCGAAAGTTATTTCCATTTACCGATATCATATAGGTTAGGAATACTGCTGACTCGAATACCCAGCGTAACAAATAATGAGATCAAATTTTAAAATGTTATTTATATGTGCATGCGATGTTTAATATACGTGATTTTTAATTTTCATTATTTGAAATATTGCATCACTCGAGTCAGCTAGCAGTTTACGATATTTTTAGCAATTATCACCTTGTGATGTTGAGTAGGGGAAATAACGTTTGGGGAATTGTACTGTAACCTTGACTTTGTTAGTGACTATGTGGTGGGAATTAAGATGAGCAGCTCAAAACTAATGCGTTAATTTTTCTTATTAGATAATAATTAGGTTGATATAGTATTGCAATTATTGCATTTGTATAAGGTTATTTTACTACACGTCATATTTTATTAGATTATTTTAGCATGAACGTAACATCACATTATTGCCGATGAATGTTAATGAGTTTGATTGCATTTAAATTCGCTTATTCAAATGTATTATATCCAAATTTGATATTTTTTTTTTTATATATACAAAGCACAGAATTTAAATTAATGCTATGTTCTCTCAAATTTTCCATAAAAAGTTTTTGTCTTGTTTATAGTTTTTAATATCATTAACTAATTTTACTAATTTTGAATAGACATTTGATTTGGTTTTATCTCTATGCTATTTTTTTTTTAAAAAACTTATATTCAAAGTAGTACGTAGCTTACTATATTTAACAAAAAAAATTAATCTTGTCAGCTGCTTTGCATTAATGATAGAAAATCTTGTAACTGATTATTGTGGTGATAAAAACCCACATTAAAAGAATTCTATCCTCAGATTATTGGGTTGATGCTATATTTGAAATGCATTTTCCCATAAAAATGGAAACTCATTTCTATCTTTAATGTCAATAGCTATTATAATGAAATTCGGCCAGTATTGCGAGTTAAATTTAACTTTCATTATGACAAAATTTTATGTAAAAACTTTTAAATTTTAAAATTATTTAGCCATACACTATATAGAATTTATTACAATTATTACAATTATACAATAACATAAGATTAATAAAATTACTGTATATCAATTTTTTTTCAGCCATAAAAATGCCGAAGAATTATTTTAGAAAATAATAATTTCAATCCTATATTTGGAATAAATTTGCGCGGTTTTTTATTAACAATAAAATAAGGTACTTATTAATTATAAAATAAGGTTACTTATATTGCAAGTGATAAATTTGCTGCCAAAGGTTAAATTATTAGCAATATTTTCATTAAATAGAATATTTTCGAATACCATTTCTTCATCAGATTTTAAAAATTCAGTTAAAAATTCAGAATTATTTTTCCAATTTAAAATACTTTCATAGATTTCTGAAGCTGAAGGTCGATTATTGTCGTGGTGACGACCAACACCCCTTGTGTTGATATTGCTAGGGTTAGGTACGATCACGGGTTACCCGATCGTGACTGGGTAACTTCAATGGCGTGATCGGTGATGCATGAATTTAATATAGTCTATTTGTAAGTATTAGTATTGCATAATGCGTGTGACCGGGTAATCAAGTACCCGGATTGATAATCTAATAAAAGCGTTATAATTATTTATCAAAACAAAGACAAGCTTGCGAACAACAGATGATTAAAAAGCATCTGTTAGGAAAAAATTAATAAATACTCAATTAAAAGTCATTTTATAAATGATGTAAAAGAAATATACTCTTTATTTTGAATAATCAATTACCTTTTTTTATTGTATAAACAATTATGACACAGGACAGTTTCAAAATTAACAAAAATTTGATATTGATAATATATAATAACCAGTTTTGAAATTATTGAAAACTTGTCATATTAAGAAGAGTTTTTTTTACTAAAAATTATTTGCATAATACATTCTTTTAATTATATTTATGAATGTAATTCTAAGTGATTATTAACTATTTTTTTAAAATAACTTGCTGAACGGCATCAATCACTTGTTCAAATATTTTAGAATGTGCAACTATGACTCCTTTGTTGGATTTTAAAGTTCTTCCTAAAGAGAAATCCAAAGGTTTGTTATAAATATCTGCAACTGTTCCTCCTGCTTCCTTAATAAGAACACATCCAGCTGCATGATCCTAATTAAAAAAATAATTATTATTAATATTAATACAATAAAAAAAAATGCATACAATTCCTAATGATATGTACCCAGATATTCTCCTCATAATCAGGACGAGTAGGCAATCTTAGATAAATATTTGCATCACCTCTCGCAAGTGCACAGTATTTACACATACTATCCATTCGGAGAGGTGGCTTTGTGATTTCAAGTAATGATGCAATTTTTGCCGCATCATCATGTGAAGAATGTGAGGCTTCAACTGATTCACAAAATGAAGCTACTGATGGTGATGAAATATCTGCCATATGGATTTTTATCTCTTCAGTTGAAGAAAACTTGCGCTATTGTTTAATTAATTTAGAACATAATCAAAAATAATAAAATTATAAAATATAAATTGTAAAGCGGAATACAATTTTTTGCTTCTTACCTGAAAAGCACCTTGTCCCTTAACGGCAACAAACAAACATCCTCTTTCACCCTCAGGTGCTTTAATATCTACTGGTAAATTTGGACATCCTAAAACACCAAGCTGAATATCACCATCAATTATTAATGCTAACCCAACACAAAATTGTTCTCCACGAAGAAATCCCATGGTTCCATCAATCGGATCAAGAGTCCACATTCCTAATGTAACAAGTTATTTTAATATATCAAAGCACAACAAATATACCTCAAAAATGTTACTAACGTCCACGTGAGCCACCAGAAAAATTTCCTCTATCGATCGCATCTAATAACTGTTATTCAAACCAATTAAATTAGAAATACAAACTATTAAATTAATCTACAGAGGGATACTATGAGTTATCGAATGATTTATTTGTGCTGCATAAGTAAATCGTTCAGTAACCGATATAACAAATAATAAAATACTATTATATCAAACCTCATTATCACCCAAAGGAGTATCTACTACAGTGTTAACCAATGATAAGACTTTATTTCTCAGTTCCTTTCCGTTATCGCCATGTAAACTTCCCGAGTCTTCTTCTCCAACAATAGGATCATTTGGAAAAGATTCATATAATATTGTGTTTACCACTGCTTGTGCACTAAAGTCAGCAACTTTTTAAAAATTTGAATTAAAAAAAAAATTAATACGAAAAAATAAGACATATTTTTAATATAAGCAAGAATGTAAATACCTGTCACAGGAGATCTATCCTTCTTAATAACAGTATCGCTCGTTACAAGGTTTTGAAAAACTTTTTGACAAACTTTGCTAGCCCTTAAGACTGCATTAATTGCAACAGCTCGTTCAATTGCTAAAACTATTTGATAAGAAAATAATTTATTATAATCTTAAATAAAAATGGATTTTTTTTTTTTTTTAAAAAAAAAAAAAGTATACCTGACATGTGTAATGTGTAATTCGAAAGAAGCTTAAAGAAAAATTGTTTGTGGGGTAACTGGATCTAATATAGTGTAGATGTCCTTCGAAAATATCCATTTGAGGTTAGTACATGAGCGCCAGAGCGTAGCGGAGGACACTCTGTTTTTACGTCTGTAGTTGATCATAAGCGTCACGTGATTCTGTCTGTCGGCTTCCGCCTCTCTGATTGGTTGTCAATCTTGAGCCTATTAATAAGTAGTTTTTAGAGAGTTAAATATAGTTAAATAGAAATCTTTTTTCATTTAATTTTATTTTTATAAACTTATTTATAATTTTTACTAAAAATTTTAATTAGCTCCGGACACACAATGCTCTGCATTTCCTAGTCTGTAGATTTGATTTTTAACACCCGACCTAATTAAAGATCACCCAAAATACTTGCTACGTATATTCTTTTTTTGATCTACTCAAATAAATTACCTCACTATTTTAAAATATTATTAATACAGTTATAATTTCGATTCCTATTTTCTTCCTATTCAAGAATAGCCTGTACTTCTGCAGATACTGGTAAAAGATAATCATAAATAATATAAACGGTTTACTCATGAAGTTCCTGGTCAAATATCGTCAAAACACTTACCACGTATACTAAAGTCAGGTATATAGTAATTTATAAGCGTCATGTGATTATTAATTTACAAATTTGTTAGTAATCAATTTACTCTTAGTATTAGTAGCGGTAACGGTACGTATTTGCGATTTATAAATACAAATATATTACTAGGTAGACGAATTTATACTCTTTATAAAATGTAATAAATGGCGTATTTAAAATTGGATTAAGAATGGAAACGTTTTATTAACTCCCGCATGTCGTAAATCGTTTCTAAAAAAGTTTAAGATTAGACGTTAAACTTCTTATTTATTGAATGCGACCTTACACATAATCCGCCACATATACATAAAAATAATTTTAAAGTTCCAATTTACCCATCACAACGTGCCAAAATTTAGAAGCTGCACACAGCCACAGTTTATCAACACAAAAATCAAATTCTATATCGTATAAAATAGAAGTAAGCATATTTACAATAGTATTTATATTCTTTAATATAAATTAATACTGTTCGAACACAGTAATGTATATATTTTCCGGGCTTGGTTTTGGGCTCATGAAAGCCCGGCCCAACCCGGCCCATTCCGCTCCCTAGGTATTATAGATTTAAAAAGGAACAACAGTTAGTGTTATAAAATCATAGTAATTTTTATGGGATTTACGTAATTTTAAGTGGCATCACTATTGTTTGGGAGAGTAATTCGAACATACCGTATTGTCGCGAAATAACGCGCAGGGTGAAATTACAAATTTCGGCTAAATTAAGCTTAATTCGAGCAAGACCTCTAAATTACGCCCATGCCCGTTATTTCGCGACAATACTCATAGACAGAAATTCGTTTGATTGGCTGATGTAAATCAATTGCCCGGGTAACTTATTTATTAGAGGCCTGCAAATTTCTAATTTTAAGGCCCGGGCCCGGCCCGCAATTAGGGTTACAAATTTTTTGCCGGCCCGGG